CTCTCTCTCTCTCTCTCTCTCTCTCTCTCTCTCTCTCTCTCTCTCTCTCTCTCTCTCTCTCTCTCTCTCTCTCTCTCTCTCTTCGCTCTTTCCTTCTCCTCCTGTCTCTGTCCTTCGAGCACTTCACCATCCAATAACCTTTTTTTTTTTTTTTTTGTTACGTTAGCGACAGGGCCTTTCACTCTGTGCGGCACGTCCACCCCTCCCATCCTTCATGTGTCGACTGACTCGACTCGCTGCCCCCTCTTTCCTCCTTCCTTTCTCCCTCCTCCTTCCTCCCTTTCTCCCTCCTCCTGTCTCCCTTCTTCCTCGTCCATCTATCCCTCCTCCTCCCTCCCTCCTCCTCTCCCCTCTTTCGTCGTCTATTTGTACCTCTCTCCTTCCTCCCTTTCTCCCTCCTCCACGCAGCACCTCACTTCTCCCTCCTATTTCCTCCTCCCTTTCTCCCTCCTCCTTCCTCCCTTCTTCTTCGTCCATCTCCTCCCTTTCTCCCTCTTCCTTTCTCCCTTCTTCTTCATCTATCTGTCCCTCCTCCTTCCTCCCTCTCTCTCCATCCATCTGTCCTTCGAACACTTCACCATCCAATCACCTTTTTTTTTTTTTTGCCCTTGTTACGTTAGCAACAGGGCCTTTCACTCTGTGTGACACCTCCACCCCTCCCATCATGCACGCGTATACTGACTCGACTCGCTTCCCCCTCTTTCCTCCTTTTCTCCCTCCCGCTTCCTCCCTTTCTCCCTCCTCCTCTCTCCCTTCTTCCTCGTCCATCTCTCCCTCCTCCTCCCTCCCTCCTCCTCTCCCCTCTTTCGTCATCTATCTCTACCTCTCTCCTTCCTCCCTTTCTCCCTCCTCCACTCAGCACCTCACTTCTCCCGCCTCTTTCATCCTCACTTTCTCCCTCCACATGTCGACTCACTATCCCTCTTTACTCATCCCTTTCTTTCTCCCTCCTCCTTCCTCCCTTCTTCTTCGTCCATCTCTCCCTCCTCCCTTTCTCCCTCCTCCTTTCTCCCTTCTTCTTCATCCATCTGTCCCTCCTCCTTCCTCCCTCTCTCTCCATCCATCTCCTCCTTCTAGTTGCCATCCGTTCCAAATTACAAATCTCAATTTGGCATTTGCAGTTTTTTTTTCCCTACTCCTTTCGGAATGTTGTTTCCACAATTCGATTTGCTCGTCGTTTCTTTCTTTTTTTTTTTTTTTAATGCCCGCTGGAGTGTTGCATAGCCGAGGGGGATTAGAGGAGGGAGTGGTGGATCTGGA